TATATATATTTATATAAATATATATATATATTTATACACTCTCCTAGCGTCTATGATGTATGTGGGGTTTTGCGGTGTACTGATCACTCTAGTTGTAGCTTGAAATAGGTTTCTGTTTTTTCACCTGGATAATTATGGGAGTGGTTTATGAAATATTCAGTGTCAAACATTATCCATCCACACTATATGTTACTCTTTTATGTAACCAGAAAAAGATGAATGGAAATACATAGATAAATGTATGGAGTGTTGTGCACAACCGGGTTACACATTGTAACTCCGTATTAACTCTTATCTGTATATTTGACTTTGGTTGTAGAGTGTAGGAGCGCTATTCTACTCAGACCGCTCTAGAAAACATCTTTTTATGGAGAAGTGACACATCCGTTCCTCTGTGTACCTGTGAAATAGATCACTGTATAATTCAAAGCTTTTTATAGTGGCATGCTCTGCTGTTGTACTCGCCATCCATCCAAGTGTCGGCTGGTTCTTCTGTTTAACCTCTGAGCATCCATCAGACCGGCAGAGGTGACCCTCGCGTCACATCCACCTAACGCGGTGTGGAAACTGGGAAACCCGACAACAGACAACGTCTGGGAGACCCGAGCCGGTTTCTTCATTCTGACGAGCCGTTCGAACGTTTTCCCTTTCAGATGGTTTTGTTTCTTCACAAGCTGTGAAATGTGTTCTGAGTAGGTGAAGATTCTTTAAAAACCCCATCCCTGCAAACCCACCTCTGAAAACTACCACACAAAGAAAGTAACTGGGATTATCCTCTCCACACCAGTAGACTTTGTTCTTCTTCCAGTCCTCTCCACCTCCTCCTGTCCCAGCTTCCTCCTCTGCATGTCCTCCTTCACTACATCCATGAATCTCCTCTGAGGTCTTCCTCTTCTCCTGCCTGGCAGCTCCAACTTCATCCTCCACCCTCCCTTCTCTGCACACGCTCAGACCATCTCAGCCTCTCTGACTCTGAGCTGTCCCTCTGATGGACTCATTTCTGATTTAGGACTTCCACCTCTCCAGACTACTTCCTGTTTAAAAAAAAAGGTGGAGGAAGATCAGGCTGACAAACTCATTAAGTTAAGCCCGTGTTACCCCTAACAACTCAGTTTTTGACCCGTGGGTCTACGGCCATCCTCCCCACTGTGAGTTTGAGGCCAAGCGGCGCCGGTTGGCGTCTGGACTTTGACCCTGCTTTAAAAAATATGGGAGTGTTTTTGTCTCTGCCAATCAGCAGGCTAAAATGAATCATTCTGACATCAAAAACTTGTTTTCGCTTTTTTCAAAACACATTAGATGATGATGATGATGATGACCTCATGGGTTAACTCACAGAGACTGAGGTAACTCTGCAGATGACCTGGTGGATGCTCAGAGGTCGGCGTCATGTTGCTGTTAGCGAGTGAACCTGAAGGAAACGGGCACCTCTGTTTCTGTTGGCTTGTCTGTATTCCCGAAGGTGACTTGGACCGCGTCCACCCTCAGAGGAGACGGGCGATGTCATCTTTTATTTTGAAGTTGCCAAATCCTCCTTCGACCGAATCAAAGCCTGACCGCTCGGTCTTTTAACTCCCGTTGCCTTTGCTTTTCTCCCACTCCTGTTGTCATCAGATACAGACTGTTTATTTCCCACGGCGGGTCGAGACGTCCTCTCTGCGCGAACTCGTCTCTTCCTCTGTCGGTGTTTCTTTCCGATCTTTGTTAATGCTCGTATTTGGAACATGTTTTGCATTTTAAAGGTTTGTAATTTACTGTAAACTGTTTTTGCTGTTTATGGACAAAACTTTTACAAAATAAACTCATTGGAATGCAGAGCCCGTCTGTTTCCTGTTCACACTCACCAAAATAAAAGCACCTTTCTGACCCCCTTGGCTTACTGAGGTCTCACACTTCTGCCTCTGATTTCAGTCTTTTCTTTTTTCAGTTTGCTTCCAGTGTACGTTTACTTGCTTCAGTTTAGTTTTTTGGTTTCAGCCAATCTGTATGAGACATCCAATCAAAATTACAATAAATCCTAAAATTACACAAATTAAAAGAAAATAAAAATATTTAAGCTCTGTTTAAACCGGCTTTTTTAAATTCATTTTTGTGTGTATGGAATGATCTTTTAATAGCAGGATCTGTAAGTCTGCTGTAGTTTGTTCACAGGTGTGTTAAATGTGCATCAGTCACACCTCCGAGCTGCTTCTCTGTGAAGTTTAACTCAGCTTCAAGGTTCAAATTTATATTGTCACATTCATCAGAGCTGCAGAGAGCTCAGCTGCTTCTTCCTCTGGATCATAAAACTTTTTCCCGATGAACATCACAGTGTCTTACTGCTGTTTTTTCGTCCTTCATCTGTTGGATTAAAGAACATGAAAAGCAGCCACAGGTGTGATCTCAGCCTGTATTCAGGTTTACTTAAACTACACCTTTATTATCTGAATATCTAATAACGGTTCACCTTTTGGAGCAAAATTTGGTTGATTTTAGGCGAGATGCTGAGTACTTATACTGTGAGACATTAAGACCTCCAGTCAGAGGCAAACTGCTCACTGTCTGTTTTGTAGGGCACAGAATTGGGGCCACATTAAGAAAATAAAAAAGTACATTTTTCCTTGTACATTTTCTGTTCCTTCCTCTTAAAAAATACTGTTTTTTTCTAATGAATTTGCCAAACAGTTTCTTGTAAATCTTAAAGTGTAAATTTGATATTCGACCCCGCCCCCACGCGACCCCGCCCACTGTACTGTTGCCTTTGGTCTTGTGCCCATCAATGTGGTCCTGGTACTCCGCTGTTTCTGTGTTTTCTTTGTTTTTGATGCGCATGCCCTGTCTGCGCAGTCTGTGCACAGCCCTGATCCCCTGTAGTATGCGCGCGCTCACGCATGCGCAGCGCTCCTCCGTAATCCGGCGCTGAGAGGGAAGGACCCTGGGTATAGCAGCGGCTCCCCCGAGCAGCAGTTTTAACAGAACTCCCGCCTTCCTGGATCCTCTGCCGTCCGGCTCCGAGTCGCAGGCAGAGTTTGGACAATGGCCGATAAAGAGGGTACGTTTAACGGCCGCTGCTCGGCGCCGAAAAACTGCTTTGGCCTGTTTTCCGAGCGCGCCGCTTTGTGCGCGCAGACTCTGTTAGGGTCTCATGTTAGCATCACATGCTAATATCAGAGCTGTCAGCGCGAGCTTTCCCGGGTTTAAAGCCTCCGTTTTTAAACACGAGCGCGTTTGAACGCCCAGTCTTTGAGTTCGGTATGACGTCAGATCTCCAAAGTGACCCGGTTTGACGTTAATGAGCCGTTGCCTCACCACGAACAGCAGCTCCTCTGTTAGTCAGCACGCACACAGCTGGAGTCTGTTTGCTGCACGTGAGGCTGGTCAGGACTCCTTGAGCAAGGCACTTTGACTGAACCCCAAACTGCTCCAGTCCAGGTCCACTCCGCTTCCCCGGTAACGTTTCATACATGAAAGTGCTGTGAAGGCGGCATCACGTGATTATTAATCAGATAATCAATCAATCAGATTTTATTGTCAGCACCTTTCAATCCGGTCAGAGCCGAACAGTAAAATAATTATGCAGTAATAAGCGATTTATAATAACTTATAAGAACACAAAAGCAACACTTTCAACGTTTAAATAGTTTATGAGCAGATTAAGACTACATTTAGAAATTAATTCAGTAAAAACTAATGTGTTAATAAACGAGGCAGATGCATAATAAAAATAGAGTAAAATATACAGTAATTTGACTACTGTAATGAGTAAATAATGGGTGGCTGTAGCTCAGGAGGTAGAGCAGGTCACCTACTGATCGGAAGGTTGGAGGCTCCTCCAGTCTGCATGCCAAGTATCCTTGGGCAAGATACTAACCCCAAGTTGCTCTCC